TTACTGTTTTCTTCACTCAGCAAATGGTTGGCAGGTGCTCCTGTACTGTTTACAGGTATACGTCATTTTACTGCACTTCAGTTTACTGCGCTTCACAGATAATGTGTTTTTACAGATTGGATGTTTATGATAACCTGGCTTTGACCAAGTCTGTTGGCACCATTTTTCCAAAAACATTTGCTTACTTTCTGTCTCTGTGTCATGTTTTAGTGATTCTCACGATATTTCAAAATTGTCATTATGATTATACTTGTTATGGTGATCTGTGACATTGCTATCACAATGCACTGCACCCATATAAGATGGTGAACTTAACTGATAAATGTTGTGTGTGTTCTGACTCCTCCACCGACCAGCCCATTTCCCCACTTCTCCCCCTCTCCTCCAGCCTCCCTATTTCCCTGAGACATAACAATATTGTGATTAGGCCAGTTAATAACCCTACAATGGCCCGTTAAATGTTCAAGTGAAATAAAGAGTCACATGCCTCTTGCTTTACATCACAAGCTAGAAATGATTAAGCTTAGTGCAGAGAGCCTGTTGAAAGCCAAGATATATACCAAAGCCAGGCCTCTTGCACCCAATGGTTAGCTAAATTGTGAATGTAAAGGAAAAGTTCTTGAAGGAAATTAAAGGTGCTGCTCCAGTGAACACAGGATGATAAGAAAGTGAAAACAGTCTTATTGCTGATGTGGAGAAAGTTTGAGAGGTCCCAATAGGAGATCAAGCCAACCACAACATTCCCTTAAGTCAAAGTTTAATCTAGAGCAAGACCCTAACTTTCTTCAATTACATGAAGGCTTGGAGGGGTGAGGAAACTGCAGAAGAAAAGTTTGAAGCTAGCATAGGTTGGCTCATGAAGTTTAAGGAAAGAAACTGTCTCTATAACATAAAAGTGCAAGGTGAAGCAGCAAGTGCTGATGTAGAAGCTGCAGCAAGTTCTCCAGAAGATCTGACAAAGATAATTAATAAAGGTGGCTACATTAAACAGCAGATTTTCAATGTAAATCAAACAGCCTTCTTAATTGGAAAAAGGTGCCATCTAAGACTTTCACAGCTAAAGACGTCAATGCCTAGTTTCAAAGCTTCAAAAGAACAGTCTGACTCTCTTGTTATGAACTAATGCAGCTGGTGACTTTAAGTTGAAGCCAATGGCATGTACCATTTTGAAAATTTGAGGGCCCTTAAAAATTGTGCTAAATCCATTCTGCCTCTGCTCTGTAAATGGAGCCAGAAAGCCTGAGTGGCAACACATCTGTTTCCAACATGATTTCATGAATATTTTAAGCCCACTGTTGAGATCTGCTCAGAAAAAGATTCCTTTCAAGATACTACTCCTCATTGACAATGCACCTGAACACTCTTGACCTCTGATGGAGGTGTAAAGTGAAATTAATGTTGTTTTCATGCCTGCTAACAACATCCATTCTGTAGCTCATGGATCCAAGGAGTAATTTCAACATTCAAGTCTTCTTATTTAAGAAATAAATTTCATAAGGCTGTAGCTGCTATAGATAGCGATTCTGATAGATCTGGGCAAAGCCAGTTGAGAACCTGCCAGAAAGGATTCACCATTCTAGATTCCATTAAGAACATTGTGATTCATGGGAAGAGGTCAGAATATCAATATCGAGAGGATTTTGGAAGAAGCTGATTCCAAACCTCATGGATGACCTCATGGGGTTCAAGACTTCAGTGGAAGAAGTAACGACAGACGTTGTAGAAATAGGGAGAGAAGTAAAATTACAAGGGGAGCCTGAAGACGGGACTGAATTGCTGTTATCTCATGATAAAACTTGAACAGATGAGGACTGGCTTCTCATGGATGAAGAAAGAAAGTGGTTTCTTGAGAAAGAATCTACTTCTGGTTAAGATCCTGTGAAGATGGTTGAAATGACAAGAAAGGATTTAGAATATTACACAAATTTAGTTGTTAAAAAACAGTGGTGGGTTCGAGAGGTTTGATTGTAATTTTGAAAGAGGTTTTACTGTGTGTAAAGTACTATCCTCATTGCATACGCCAACATCAACATCGAGGCAATGCCCTCCACCAGCAAAAAGATTATGACTCGCTCAATGCTCAGATGATGGTTACATTTTTAAGCAGTAAAGTATTTTTTTAGTGTTTATTTATTTTTGAGAAGGGGGAGAAGCAGAGAGAGAGGGGGACAGAGGGTCTGAAGCGGGCAATGTATTGACAGCAGAGAGCCTGATGTGGGGCTCAGACTCACAAACCGTGAGATCATGACCTGAGCCGGAGTTGGACATTTAACTGACTGAGCCGCTCAGGTGCCCCAGTAATAAAGTATTTTTTAATTAAGGTGTTTACATTTCTTTTTTTTAGACATAATGCTATTGAACACTTAAGAGACTGTTATATTGTAAACATAACTTTTCTGTGCGGTGAGAAACCAAAAGATTCATTTGACTTGCTTTAGTGTGATACTTGCTTTATTGTGGTAGTCTGGGACCAAACTGGCAATTAGCTCTGAGGTATGCTTATACCATTATCACTACCATTGTGTTAATGGGAATGTCTTCCTGATTCATTTAGGTTTGTAATTTAATATATTTATGAGGTCTTTCGGTTTTTAAAAACAAAATGATTTATAACCTAATTGAAATAATTATAAACAAGTTAGAGTCTTCATAAAGCATGCTCTCCTTTCCATCAACAGAATCCAACATGGCGGAGTCTCGATTTTGGGATAATGCCAGACCGTCTTGATACATCTGTGTCTTGTTTCGTGGTGAAGATATGGGGTGGAAAGGAGGACATCTACCAGCTTTTGATTGAATGGAAAGTCTGTTTGGATGGACTGAAATACTTGGGTCAGCAGGTAATTATTTGTTTATTTATTTATAATGTTTATGTATTTTTGAGAGAGAGAGAGAAAGAGAGCATGAGCAAGGGAGGGGCAGAGAGAGAGGGAGATACAGAATCTGAAGCAGGCTGTAGGCTCTGAGCTGTCAGCACAGAGCCCAATGCGGGGCTTGAACCCATGAACCGCGAGATCAAGACCTGAGCCAAAGTTGGACACTCAACTGACTGAGCCACCCAGGCGCACCCCCACTTTTTTTTAATGTTTAGGTAATTTTTAGATTCTAGTTATGAGTAGTTGTCTTCTCTAAATTAACCTATCTAACCTTTCTGTAGATTCTTACGATTCTACATTTCCGATCATAAAGAGAGAACTTTGATGATTGTTTACTTAATTATAGAAATTTGAGTCATTACCAAGTTTGAAAAATAATTTTTAACTGAGGAAACTTATGAGGAAGCACCCTAAGCTGCTAATTTAAGAGGATTTTTTTCTGGGAGGTGTAGGAAAGAATATACTTTCCAATAGCATTCTTTTTCTTCTGTTTTATTGGATATTCCCCAATAGAATCTAAACATTAAGTTGCAAATATGGAATGTACTATAAAGAGCTTCTCTTATGATCCGTAGAGTTGAGTTGTTTCAGGAATAAGGAGAGCTACTGTTTATTGAGCACGGAGATAACAATTGCCTGGTTTATACACTGCTACCAATCCCCTTTGAGCGATGTAGCTATTGGATCATAGCACCCTTCTAGCTGAGCTCGGAAGTAGCTCCATAATCCCTTCTGACACTGTTCTGGGATGCAACTAGTAATTTATCAGAGCTGCATATGATATGAAACCTATTTACCATCCCCAGACATAGATTATTATAATTTGTGTTTATATCAGCCTTGTGAAGTTTGGTATTATTGCCCTTATTTTCCAGATGGGAAAATTGAACCATAGAGAGTTTAAGAAACTGTTCAAGATCACACTGCTAGGTGGAGCTGGGATTTGATTCCAGGCCTGGCTGACTTACAAATTTATTCTGTGTTTTGTATCACACTAATATATACATATAGTCCTTGGTAGTCCACCTACCTTGGAATGAGTGCTGTATCTATTTTGTGATACCCTAGGGACTGCTGTTAAAGGTAACTTTAAAATATTTGTCATATCTATGAATATCCTTGATGTTTCTTAATATTTATTCAATATAGACTTCCTGGTATATTTCTTTTAAAGAATCAATTTAATTCTACATGTTTTTTTATCAGATTAAAAAAAAGTCCTTTGCCCTCATTTTGCTTATTGTATATTTTGTGTTCTTCTATATAGTGACCAGAACAATGCATATAATGGGTATTTTCCATAACTAAATTCTAATGGCTACAGATTCTTAATCTTTTTTGTTTTTGTATTATTCTCCCTGTTTTAGGACTGGTCTTTTTTTTTTTTTTTTTTTTTTTTTTT